ACGACAAAAGATACATGGGCAAAATCAACGAGATACATGAACTGGGAAAATGGCATCAGACGAACGACAGTTGGCTCAACAACATAGAAGAGATCAGTAGTATGTCCCAGCAGAGTGCCACGAAAGAGCTAGGCAAGTCGATTACTGTACATTTTCTGTGAAAGTAACCACTGAAACGATAAATGTGATATTTACCCTAGTATGAACGAAATGTTGGAAAGTTAAAACTTTGTAAATTATGTTTGGAAAACGGCCACTCACAGGAAACTTGCGTAGGAAAAATAAAATGCTTTTATTGCTGTTCTGGCTACAATAGCGTTTCATGTAAGAAACGCAACGAAGCAAAGAAGCAAAGCAAAAATTTCAAGAATGGTGAAGGAGCAAACGGAAGCCGAAAAAGACTGGCGGCCGCAGTTGCGGATGATGAAATCCTGGAATCGTATATGATGTGGAAAGAAGTAAGACTAATCAATCCAGATGAACCACGAAACATAACAAAAGCCTTAATATCTTTCCAAGTGATTGTAACTACGTTACAGAATCAATGGCAAACAAACTGAAAGCAGATATCGCTGAGTGCAGGAAGATTAATAACAGGAATAGTGGACACAAGAAGATTCTACAAGAAGATGTGGAAACCGAAAGATAACCTTCGGAATTCAAAAGTTATCCGGAAATGTGAAGAACATCCAAGCGCACATTGTTGATTCAATACTCGAACGCATACTGTATATGACAAGCGATAAAATGAGAAATTCAACCAACTGAGGGCAGGTGGGGAAATCCATATTTATTATTAGGAATAGAAGAGATTGCGGATTTGATCATTCGTAATTCCATAAAGCATCTGCCAGGATGGATGGTTGTTGAGACAGAAATAGGGGTGGTAAAAGGCGGCAAACAGAAAGAGGCACAAGATAATGATAAAGGAAACGGAGGTGGCGAGTTATATGAATTTCAAACAATTACAAGCATTACAAAAAAAGAGTCGCAAATCCACATGGACCAGATTGAACAAATGTCGGAATTAAGGATTTAATGGCAGAGCATTAAAGTGAAAAGACCATTGCTTGAAGTCTTTCAAAAATCACTCACTACGGACAAGGAAAGAAATGTGTAGCGGATTGGCCATGGAAGAACCAGAAAAGGGATATGGATTGGCACGGGAACGGCTATGACCCATAATACGAAGACAAAAAAGTCTTCAGAATCATAGGAATGTTGCGATATTTTAAAAACTTACTAGAGGAAAGTGATAGCTGATGTGGAGAAAACATCTTTGCAAGTGAGCTGGAGTCGGGGAAATAGGGACGCCTTTTTTTTCAGTCATAAGAGAAATCAGAATGGAACATGGCAAATATTCTATTTGCCCCACCAGGAGGTAATAACACTTACGAAGAAAGGCCCGTCGTAAAAAAAAATGAATGCCTATATAAGGGGTCAGTAATGATACCATCATTAATAGGAATTCTATTACGAGCTAGACGAGGACGTTACCGATGATGACCGATGTGGAGAAAGCATTTTTACAAGTGAACTGGAATCGAGAAGAGAGAGGTGTCACTAGGTTTTTGTGGCTGAAAGATAAATCGAAGGAGCTGACTCAAGAGAACCTAGTTATCGCTTCGCATAAGCTCCCTTCGGCGTAGTGTCATCGCCTTTTCTGTTGCCGCTGTCATCTAAATTATCAGCAGAAATAGCGAAGAATCTCTTTGCTGATAATGTTGTACTAACTCCAGAAAGTGAGTTAGAAAGTGAAAATAAGCAAAGGATCTCTTGGAGAAAGCCAAGATGCACTTAAAAAAATTCCATGCGAACTACGGCATTAATGAGCAAGAAATAATAAGAATGACCACGATAAAACTGTTAGGGATTGAATGGAATAATAACAAAGATGAATTTACTTGGAGCTAGAGGATACTACAAAAAGGCTTCCAGACCGAACACCAAATATTAAAATTCTGTACTACTATTTACACTTCATTAGGACCACTGTGTCCACTCATACTCGCATAGAAACTATTGGTTCAAGATTTATGGAAAAGGGTGTGTCCTGGGGTGAGAAATTGGAGCCTGAAGAAATGAAACGTTGCTTGGAGTTGAAACGGCATTCAACCAACAGGATGTCATAAAGATATCTTGATGAATACAAGAATGCTTCGAGATACATGTGTTTGTGGATGCATCCCAAAGAGTTGTAGGACTAGCAGTACAGCAAAAGCAATAACATTTCATACAAACCACAACTGATATACGGAAACAAGACTAGTTTCGAAACAAAATGGGAGCCAGTCCACCAGTATTCCTCTATTGGAATTGCTCGCCGCCACAATTGGAGTAAGAGTACTGGAATTCATTAAACAAAAAATCGATGTGGAAGAGGCGTATTTATGGATGGATTGTCGCGAATTCGGAATTCGCGAAACTCCAACTAAATTCCAAACAAACAATCAAATAAATTCCTCATTACTAATTCTACATTCCTTAGATTTATTTCCCATCTTCGTATTGTTAGCTAAATTCACATCTTTGTGTTCACATCCTACAAATGCTTAATGAAAACCAATCCCACTTGCGAATATATATAAACCCTATTGTATTAATAAAAAGGAGGTTCAATAAACTTTCCACAATCTGGTGCGTTTATCAACATAATTTAACTCAACCCGGCTTGTCGGACTCAAGGAATTGCTCAATCAATCCAACGGATCGTTAATTCGGAACAAATTTGAAGTGGTGATTCTAAGTTCTTGACGGATCTCTCAACAATTCTACAAAAAAAAAATTCACGACATGGATAGCGCTTGTGTCCTGCATTGGTTGAGGAAACCGCCGACAGGATCCAGATATATCTCCAATAGAATTGATAAGAAAAGAAATTGAATTCCGCCACGTAAGATCAGCAAGTAATCCAACGGACCATATTTCACGACGACTTCTCCCAGGGAAACCGGAAAATAATTCGTTGTGGTGGAATAGTCCATCACGATTGTAAGAACAGAAGGAAAAATGGCTTGAGAATGAAGTCATGGGAGAAAGCATCGTAAGTGTGTATGGCCATGGCATTGATGGAGGAGGAAGTAATACAGTCAGGTCAAGTTATGGCATCTATTAAAGATGAAACGCGATTCTCATCGTTAAGTTGATAAGGACGATATTATACATTTTATGATTCCTCGTAAAGATGTCAAAAGGAAGAAAGTTTGAAAGGGTTCTCAAGAGAGTATTGTTTCTAAAGAGTACAACAAGGAACACAATTGGTAGTCAAGATGGCACAGCTAAACATAACGCAAAGGAAAATCGAACACTGACGTCTAAGAAAAGATCGAAATGGAATCTGGAGTTGTGTTGGAAGACTTAAAGGCCATACCTTGAATTGAGGATTTTCCATATTTCATCAATAAAGGAAAGCTAGCAGAATTGATTGTGAAGCATTACCATGAGAAATCATTTCATGCAAGCGTAAATTATATATGGAGCAAAATAAGATAGTGGTTTGGATTCCGCATGGGCGGTCATTTATTAAGTTTGAGAAAGATTTGTATGAAAAGCCAGAGTTTTCACCTTATTCACCAGAAAGGATAGTGGTGAGCACACCCTTCGAGAAAATCGGGCTAGATCTTCTTGGTCCTTAGATGAAGGATAACGGGACAGTATCAAAACGCCGGGTGGCTCTATTCACGTTCCTAGTCACAAAAGCCATTCACATGGAAGTCATGAAAAACATGTCTGCTGAGGCTTTCATGCAAGCATTCAGGAGATTTGTTAGCCGAAGGCGACGTCCAAATTTTGTGTTGTCCGATGACGCCAAGAACTTTGTTTTAGCTTCTAAGTTACTACAGGAGAATAGCAATCAAGAATAAAGGCAACTAAGGTGGCAATTTATTACCCCAGCAACGTCGTGGCAAGAAGATGTCTATGGAAGGATGGTTGGAATAGTAAAGAGAACTTTACAGAAGGCAGTAAAAAAGAACCTCATGGAAGAATATGGTAACAGATTGAATTCTTGGTAAACGAAAGACCATTAGTAGATTATGAAAGGAATGGAGAGATAGGGATGGAGAGATAGTATTATATCCAGGGAATTTTTATGACCTGGCTGTAGTAGTGATGTGAAGAATTCGCTGGAATATGGAACATTACATGAAAAAGACGAATCGAAAACTTCAAATACTACACAAAACCGCTCTGTTCGGCAATTTACCAGAATACCCGGAAAAGTTACAACGCTTGTGAAAGATATGGCAAAAGTATTTGGAAGAATTAAGGAAAAGAACGCGAAAATTGCATAAGAATCCTTGCAGTCGTGTATGACGTAGGCCAATCAATGACGAAATAGTACTATCAAAAGAAAAAGACCCTAGAAATTCTTGAAAAACAGGTCGAGTGGGGAAACTGATCAGGGGAAAAGACGGATAATGTCGATCCGCTATCGTAAGGACGTCGAATGGCCTGTGGTTGATTAGCGCTGTAGGATATTGGTACCCTTTAGAGATCTCCGGCTCTGAAACCCTAGACTTTATATCTTCCCTCGCCTCCCGACTATCGCTAATATCGTGAGTGGAAAGAAAGGAGCGATAATTCCCTTTGTTGAAAACAGACATGTTTTTGTTATGTTTATATTGTCTTAAATTTGCACTACAAAGAGTGCTATAACAATATACCCTCCATAAATATGCTAGTTCTTGTATTCTTAAAACTGTACAGATACGAAGCCCTCCCGCTCAAGAAACGGAAAGTCCTGTGGACCATTTCATTTTACAAATGTGTTTCATCGAGATCGGTTGGATATACGAAAATCGGGCGTCGTTTCGTCTTTGTTCTTAGTGATTTCGTCATTAATATGTTGTATCAATGTCATAATTGCTATGTTCGTTGTTATATTAACAAATTCATCGAAATAAAAGGTTTAATTACTCAAGTTCTAGGTACTACTGATCAGAAAGAAAATATTGACCAGAAAAAAAAAGAGGCAGGAAGAACCCTCAATCTCTGTCGCGATTGAAGAAAATCGGCGACAGATATCAAATTGTCTTTGATCTGTGAAGTATTTGCAACAATTAAAAGAATCAATGTAAAAGAATCAATGCATTTGTTGCATACTTTTTTGCTCATTCGAATTAAAAATAGCTCTATTTTGCATTTTTGTTTAATAATCTTCGAAGTGCAAGTAAAACTTTACTAACGGGAACTCCGTGGTAGTTTCAGAATTTTAAGAAGTCCTTGATTTCCACCGGTTGCAATATATCCCGAGGTTTTCATCCATGATACGCAATATAGTTTGGTGCTGTTTGGAATTGAAATCTGAAATATTATGTTGGAATTCCACCAAAATTTAATCATTTAATCTATATTTTTCATAGCAAATAAAACTTGATATAATAAGTAAAAAAATTTTTATAGCAAATAAATCTATATTTTTTACAGCACGCAAAACTTAATTAGCTACTATTAAGGTATGCATCGAATCGCAACGAAAGTTCCACTATTTAGACGATGAAAAAGTATTCTATACAGAAATAGTCACCATAAAGTGACAACAAAGAATGTCTATCAACTCTTGCGATTCATGCAGCAAAAGTTGGTAAGACACTTGTTCAAATATCGACGAAAAAAGTTTTCTTTTTCTTTTTCCTGTATCTCTTAAGCTATTTTTCTTCTGAGAAATGAAAATTAAATGAATTAAAATGTAACCTTTTTGCTTAAATATACGAATATCATATAGAGCTGTTCGGTAAAAAACAATGAAAAGAAATTGAAATTTGAACTATTGATTATTCTGCCAAACTGAAACAGCTAGTTAGAAATGCTTGTCCTATTTGATGTTACCATGACAATCATCACGTACCGCCTATTGCTTATGTTTGGTATATATTTACAAAGTTGTATTTCAAATTCAATACTTGTCTACTCAAATTCAGTACTTGATAAAACAAATTCGGTAAAACAAATTCGATAAAACAAATTCGGTAATTCGGTACTGATAAACAAACCCAGTCCTTGATAACTGAAACCAAAATCGAAACCAGAACTAAAAAGGTTTGAAACGATATCTCAATTATAAAAATAAACTTTGTTTGTTAACGGAAACATTTAGCGCTCATATAAAAATATATAAAAGGAAAAATTCATTCAAAATTTATTTCTATTGGCAATTGGTAGCTTTGGTAAAACTTTTAAGCTATCAAAGCATTCAGTGCACATATAAATATATATAAATATATAAATAAATAAATATATATATATATATATATGTTTTAAAACGAAAATCCAGTTTAATTGTAGCAGCAAAGTTAAAAGTTTTCAATATTAAGGTTTGTTTGTATATATTTGATATATTTTGCAACTTGACCATTAGATATTAATTATTTTTAGAAAGAAAAAATTAAAATTTGAATCAAACCTGAAAAACAAGTTATTTAGCTATTATTCGCTGCTTCAGATAATAATTTCAACACTCTTTTCGGTGTAATTTTGCAAAGAAAAGTTTTTTTGAGTTTGCTAAATAATTAAAATTAAATTTTACTAATTTCTAATTTTTTTTCCTTCGCTTAATGAAAACTTTTTCCATCGCATAGCATTCGTTGATAACATCATTTGCAATGTGTTTAGCCTAATGATCTTAACTATTGTAAGCGTAATGGGTTCATATACTATTCCTTTCAGTAGTTCCAACTAATTCTTATTAAGATATTTATAGTTGGAATTTTGATATATCAGACATTTTAACTAATCGAGGAATATTGAGTGCTACCTTGCAATGATGTTGATAAAATTATATTTGCTTTTGCTAAATTTCATTCCCATTTAATTGTCGCTTTATCTTTTTCCCTGAGCTTGCTGGAATTATATTATTTTACTTAAATATTGAACAGTCAATGAAAGGAATGAATTGAAAATGGGAAAAGAAAGTCTCAATTGATGTAATCGTTTATTGCGATAAAATTAAAAAAGTGAAGCAGTTGGATTAGTATTTGTAGCATTCATTTTAATATTCGAAAATAATTCTCTGAGAGCACAGACAGATCATTCCCTTAAGATTTCATCCTTTCTTTCTTTCTTTCAGAATTAAAATTGATAACTTTAGCTTCTTTGCAAAAATCAGTCTTTCCTCTTTTTTATTGCTATTATTTTGATTCGTTTTTTAGATCTCAAATTATTCTTAATTAAAAAAATCACTGCGGCATTTGAATATTCGGTCTAATATTTGAATATTCGAGAAGTAACATTAATCATTAGATTATTAATTGCTCTCTATGAGAAATGGAATGATTTCTAATTCGTACAATTATCCAAGTAATAGAGTGATTTATAAAAACAACAAATGGCAGAATTATTGACAATCATTTTATGTCAAATAATTAAATCGAGATCAAGCATAGAGTTGGTCAAGATATAATTGCAGATGTTGAGGATTTTTCGTATCATATCGATAGGAATAAGCAAGAAAGAATAAAGTATAAACTAACAAGTACCAGATGATCATTACTTCGCATGACAGTATTCTGAGTTTAGCTCAGTAGAATCTTTCATATTGTTTTATGCGGTAATAAAAAACAGCAGTGTTTGATAGGAGTGAGAATTGAGAAACGATTTAAATCGAAGTAATTCGGAAATTAGATAGGTAAATGGATAATTAGTTGTTTTTCTCGTCTGACCAATAAATTCAACTAAATAACTTGAAACATGTGAATAAATGCAAATAATTTACTAAAATTTAAATGCAGAATTAATTGCACAAATTCAAGCTAAGCTTCTTATTTCATTTCATTTAATGTCTTTTAATAAATTTTGATAAATTTCAACAATGTTGCGGTACTTAGGGTGATAGGAATGGTAAAAGAGAAAAGGATAAATATGAATAATTTAAATTAACGGGGAATATTCGAAATATCTGAAAAAATCAATGCTGGAACATTAAGTCAAAATTTTATTGTCTGGACTATGACCAAAAATAAGTTATGAGCTACTAAGTTACAATTTAGAAACCTGAAAACAAAATGGTCAATTGCTCAGTTTAATTTATTTGTATTTCTCTGCTAAAAAATTTACTACTCGATAGTATTAGTGGTTCTAAGGACTAATTAGCTAAGAAGCCATCAATGTTTGCCAGAGTAGTATTCAGTATTCAGTGTGCACAAACAAAACTTTTATATATCTTTAATTCATATCGTATCATATTATATCAGCTTTTAAGATTTCATCTTCTTTAAATCATCATTAAGTGATTAAAGCTTTGGGAATATTTTTCATTTAGATTCAAAATATTTTCGCTAACGCTGAATGATGCGTTTAACAGTCAGCGATATGTTAATATGACGGAAATATGTTGTAAATTATAAATTAATATTAAGGTTCCGGATTATAAGATATCACTTTATTTAATTACGAGAAATTTTGATAAAAGTATTTGTGCATGTCCCTGTTTCTGTCCGCTTTTCTACATTATTTTCTTTTTCATTTGAGTAATTTCTTCATGTTTGTAGTACTTTTGTATTATCCAAAACGAAACAAAATTTGAAGTTAAAATGAATGAAATTTCTTTCATTTTTACAATTTAAAATGAAATTTGTGCAAATATAAATCGGTATTTTTTCGCACCACAAATGTGAACAAATAATCCACTAAAAACAAAAATCGAACGATGGCAAAATCGTTTAAAATGAACAAGTCTTCAGCACTGAAAATGTCATCATCCTCATCACAAGCCCAAAATTCGACCGTATTACGCTTCGCCAGTATGAATCCTTCAACTACTACATGTGACGACGATATTTCACAAACAGCATGTTTTCATTTTTTTATCATAGTTATTTTTAGCTAATCAGTTGCAGGAAATCAAATAGTAATTTGATATTTCCAAGTAATTACATCTTGTCTTGTTGTAAGCATACATTTAGTAATTTACCATTATAAGGAGTAAGTAACAAGAAATCATACTAATTATTAGACTAACCTTTGTCTTGTAGTTATAGTAGTTTCATATATGTTAATTTTTACGTTAAAATAAAAATTGATAAGAAATTTGGGCGGATTATTATTACTATATTATTATTATTTATAATAATAATAATAATAATAATAATATA